GGTGCTGTTAAGGATGACTAATGCGCAGTGACATTTGGAAATGACCTCCGTGAGGGAGTTTTGTGTGAGTGTGTGTGTGTGTATGTGTGTGTGTGTCTTTCCTGTTCCCAATTTTTCCCGAGACTCTGTCTTGCCCTGAAGGCATCGTCCCAGATTTGCGGCCAATCGCAGGCCCTCTCAGGCGCCTGGGGCGACCCTACATTGGAACGACCCCCCACACCAAGCGTTTCCATGGTGATAGCCATCACTCACGCTGCTCCTCAGTTTGGTTGGAGCGGAGCCCTGTGGGAGTGGGGAGGGGGTGGCTGGGGGGGTGTATCAGGATGTTAGTGCTGCTTTCCCATTCCCAATGGGCTGGTCCTCCATCTCCCCGTCAGCTTGGTCACTGGCCTCGATGCAGCTGCGTTCCCGGCGCCGCATGCGGCTAAAACGCAGTGGATGCCCCCCCCCCACAGCCTGGCCTTCCTGGGGAGTCTGAGCCCTTACTCACGGTGTTTACTTCAGCACCAGCCTTAAATGGAGTTTGTTCTCTATTTAACTCGGTTAGTGTGGTGTGCTAAAAACAGACCTGGTATCCGGCAGCGTGACCTGGTTACGCCCGCATGTGTCCCTGTTTACCTGCGAGCTGCATCTGCATGCTGCGAGCGTGACTCAGCTGCATGTGCTGATGAGAGGCCCGACTTCCCTTTCTAACCACTTCCACTGTATCATTACTTAATCTGGTAGGATCCCTTTCGGGTTCCTGCACTCGGTTGGTTGGGTCCAGTTGGTGATGTAGTGGCTAGCATGACATGTCAAGTTGTGACCTGGGTTAGATTCTCAGTCAAAGCAGCCTATATAGGTGCAGTGTTTGGCTCAGTGTGTTTGGCCTATGATCAGAAGGTCGCCAGTTCGAGTCCCATGACTGGCAGTGATTTCACCTACGCACCCTTGATAAAGGCCTTTGGGGCTGACCCTGATTTCAAAAAATATATGTCACTTTGGATAAAAGCATCTGCTAAATAAATGTCAATATACACTTGAATTTGTGCACATTTGGACAGGAAGGTGGTCAAGGCATAAGAGAAGCACCGGCTGGTCAGAGCCCGACATGCGATCACTGGCCGTCTGCGAGGAGAGAGCCCAGCATCGCCAGGCTGAAGACGCGGCTTTGGAAGACGCAGCCTCTGCATAACAGGGACACATTGGGCCAGATTGGGGGGGCTGAATGCTGAGAACAGGAATGTCAAGGCCAAGCCCCCCCGCAAACTGGCACTCTCTGTGTCTGTGTTATGCTGTGGTTCTTTGCATTGGCTGTTTCCCAATCCGAATGTAAACAGTACAATTCGTTGCAGTGGGAGACGTCAAACACAGCGCCTCCTGCTGGTGCCCTCGCCGGCCTAGCCGCCAGCCAAACACAGCGCTTTCCTGCCAGAAGTGATGGGTGGGGAGGCATCGGCCTACTTAGCTGTATTGTCGATAGAGATG